TGGTCCTCTTAGATCAGTGAGGGAGAGAGGTGTTAGGACTTAAAACGTGTGTCTTGGGGGAGAAACAACTCAAGCCAATCCAAGCAGCCTAAATTCCTGGGGCCACGGGGTTTGGACATTAGCCGCGACACCGTAGGACTAGGCTGTGGGCATCTGGTCTGCAGTTATACTAGTAAATCAGTCCATAACAGGCATCTCCAAGCTGCCCTGCGTCCTGCAGGCCCCCCATGGCTGCTCCACGCACGTGATGACACCTCCCTTTGCTCCATCCCTCCTGCTTCTAGGGTCATTGTCTGCCCACCAGCCCCCACTTTCCTTGTGGACAGAGCTTGGAGACTGCTTGGGTGTCCACTCGCCACCCTGTGTGACTCAGGGAAACCTGTCCTACCTGGGTGCTGCTGAGAATCCTCAGTGGGGTCCTACCCCTTTGCTGGAGATTCATTTATGTGTGGACATGTGACTCCCTTCTGGCCAATGAGATGTGAGTGAGGTCAGGGGAGTAACTGCTGGAGATCACTGCATCCCCATGCATCCCGAGGTTCGTGACCCCTTCAACAACGCGGACTCATTCCTCGTGCTATTGTCTCTTCTTCTCTTTCTTCTGCATCCTGCTTCCACTTAGAAAGGCCCTCACGTTACACTGAGACCATCTAGATCAGTGGTTCTCAACCTTCTGGCCCTTTAAATACAGTTCCTCATGTTGGGACCCAACCATAAAATTATTTTCGCTGCTACTTCATAACTGTAATGTTGCTACTGTTATGAATCGTCATGTAAATATCTGATATGCAGGATGGTCTTAGGTGACCCCTGTGAAAGGGTCGTTCGACCGCCAAAGGGGTCGAGACCCACAGGTTGAGAACTGCTGCTCTAGATAATCCAGGATCATCTCCCATCTCAAGGTCAGTGGATTAGCAACCTTAATTCCGTCTGCAACCTTAATTCCCCTTTGACGTGCAACAGGACAGATGGCCAGGTTCTGGGGAGTGAGGTGTGGACACCTTTGGGGGTTGTTGACCTGCAGGCCACAGGAGGTGTCCTTGGTCCTGAGACGGAGGCCCAAGAAAGTGGTCCCTTTCTGCCTGTGGCCATTGCAGCTTCGTGAGGAGATGTCTGGAGCAGCTGCAGCCATATTGATGGCCATCTGAGGACGAAGACAGTGTAAAAGGAGGCAGAGCCACAGCAAGCACAGAGCAGCAGAGTGGAGTCCAGGAGCCTCTTTTAGGAGGAGAGAACACGTTGCTTCTCTACTTAAGCCCATCAGAGGCAGGCGTTTTGGTTGCCTGCTGTCAGAGGTATCTACAGAGCAGAATCCAGCTGCCCTGGAAATAGAACTCCAGCCTGTGTGTGTGTGTGTGTGTGTGTGTGTGTGTGTGTGTAAAAGACTACATTTCCTAGCCTCCTTTGCAACCAAGCATAGCCCTGTGACTAAGTTCCAGCCCGTGGGATGTGAGCAAGGGTGGCTGTGCTTTCCAAAGTCAGGAGCTCACAAGACCTGGAAACCCAAGTTCCTCTGAACAGCGAAATGGACAAAAAGTCATGGTGTAGCCATTCAACTCAGTGGAATGCCCCCTAGCGGTGACAATGAACATGGATGAATCTCACATAGTTTTGAGCAGGGGTCCTCAAACTACGACCCGACCCGCGGGCCACATGCAAATGCAAATATTGTATTTGTTCCTGTTTTGTTTTTTTACTTCAAAATAAGATATGTGCAGTGTGCATAGGAGTTTGTTCATAGTTTTTTTTTTATAAAAAACTATAGTCCGGCCCTCCAATGGTCTGGGGGACAGTGAACTGGCCCCCTGTTTAAAAAGTTTGAGGACCCCTGGCCCGGGGGCTTTGAGGCTGTTACATGGCTGTGGTCTGTTGTGAAAAGGCCTACACTTAGGATACGTGGTATTGGACACCCAAAAGGAAAAATGTTCCCAGAGGACGGGGCCCAGCCTCGTCTCCCCTTCTGTCTCGAGCGGGGCAGGCATGGGCTGCAGGTGCCCTGACTTTGGGGAGGAAGAAATTCTCCTGGGTCTTTGCTGCAGCCACGAAGCCACCTGCCTCTGTGGGAGAAAAGTAGACTCTCCTCATCAGGGTCCGAGTACTCGAACCCAAGCGTAGTGCCCCTTTGGAGTGGAAACTCCTTCAATATGAGTGAGAGATGTTCTGCTATTTTAGACAAGAGCGGATGGAGTGCATTTCATCCCACGTTACTCAGCGGACGGACCACACGAGGCCGTAACCCTGGTGCGTTGTTCTCACTCAGGGACACTGGGTGACATTGGGGACATCTGTGGCTGTCATGCCTGGGGGTGCTCTTGGCATCCGGTGGGTGGGGCCACGGGCGCCGCTCCACCTTCCATAGAATGGTCCCCGACAGAGAACTCCCCAACCGTCCACAATGCCTGTAGGAGGAACCCTGCTATACACTAAGGAGCATGTGGCAGTGGGAAAGGCCCCCTCCGCCTCCAGGGCTCTTCTAAGAAGAAAGGCACCATCCACGCCCCTCGCAGACCCCACGGGCCTTGCTGGGCCCTTCTGTGTCTTCTCCACCTGAGTGGGGGGCAGGTGACCGTCCCCGGCCCCTTTCCCAGGTCCCCCATGTGGACTCACTCCCAACTCATTTGCCCCTTGCATTTGGGGAGAACGAATTCAGTCTCCAGCGGAGAGCAGGGCCGGGAAGCTTCACAGCATGGCCTCCACGCCTCGCGTCTCCACAGGAACTGGGCTGGGCTTGACATTCAGCCGGAGGGTTCGGTACTGAGTCCTTGTTTCTGCCTCCGCTGGAGCGTCCCTGCCCCAGAGGCAGGAAGGGCACTGGATCCCTCAGCTTCTGCCACACACACACACACACACACACATACACACACAAGTGCCCTTTGGTCAAGGGCCTTTCCATCATGACTGCATTTTGCAAATATCGAGATTCGCAAACGCTGGGAGCCCCGCCAGAGGCAGCCCAAGGCTCCATGCCACTGTGCAGTCTTGGGCAATCACTTGGCCTTTCTGGGCAACACAGGGATGACGATACGGACATCCATCTCGGCGATGGCTGGTGCGGGAGGCTGCTAGGAGCCCACAAACCCTTGAGCGGAGCGCCCTCTGTTGGTCGCCCTGCGGTACTGCTGTTCCTCCCTGGCGCCGGCGGAAGATCCAATTCAAGGCAGTTATTGAAACTCCGCAGGGGGCGCGCCTGTTCCGGGTGTGGGGTGTCCAGGCGGAGGCAAGACAGGCACGGTTCCCGCCCAATTCGAGCCCACTTACTCTAGTGGGGCAAAAAGACAGTCACAGATGCAATATAGAGTAAGCTCATGATAAATGCTGGGAGACATCACCAAAAAGGTAGGAAAACACACTACTTGAGGGAAGGGTTTTTGGAGGAGGTGATGTTTAAGGTGAACCTCAGGGGACTCAGCCACATGAAAATCGAGGGATGAGCTCACTGCACGGTGATGAGAGAGGAGACTGGTGGGCATGTGGGGTTTGAACAGGCCAACAGGAGCGGGGGCCAGTGTAGCAGATGGCAGGTGCTCGCCCTCCTGAGGCAGGAGCCCATCAGGGACCCTGCAGGGCCCCTGGGTGGCCTTGACTCATCACTCAGGATGGGATTGTTGCATAACAGACCGCCCCAAGTTAGTGGCTTAAAATCATGAAGATGCTCTGCTTCCCACAATCCTGCAGCCATGGGACATTCATTCCATGCAGTGTCTGTTGAGGCTGGGACCCTGAGGATGGCCTCTTCCCTCACTGTCTGGGAATCCCCCCACCCCCCCAAAGACACACATAGAAGTCTCCAGAGTTGCCAAGTTCATAGGCTCGGCAACGCCACCAAGACCCATCCTCAGCTCATGATCCTCAGACTAGCAGGTGTCATGGTCACAAGCGAGCGGCCCGAGCTCTAGCTGCCGCAGGCGGTCTCAAAAGTAACCACGGAGAAGAGACAAGGCATTTGTTTCCCGTGCCTCCTTTCACTCCGCAGGAAGCCGTCTCTAGAAGCCCCTTGCTGGCTCCCCTCAGGCTTCATTCCTAAGTCAGTCCTGGGGAAAACCCCGGTGAGCTGTGACCACCAGCACTGGCTTCCTCCATCTGAGCACAAGTGGAGTCTTTTATGAAGAAGAAATGTAGGCCGTGGCCAGGGTGGCTCAGTTGGTTGAGCATCATCCCATGCACCAAAGGATCCACAGACTCCATTCCTGGGCAGGGCACCTGCCCGGGTTGTGGGCTCAATCCCCAGTGGGCTTGCAGGAGGGGCCCAACCAATGTCTCATCTCTCTCACTCTCTTTCTCTCTCCCCCTCCCTCTTCCTTCCTCTCTCTCTCTCTCTTTCTCTCTCTCTCTCTCATCAATAAAAACATATTTATTTTTTTTTTAAAAAGAGAAGGAACGTAGGAGAGAGCTGGGTCTGCTCCAGCAGCGAGCCAAGCTCCCAATCTAACCATTCATGCAACAGCCCTTTCTGAGAGTCTTCTGTGGGCCCAGCCATTCTAGGTACCAGGATGTGCAGATTGGAACACGCTCATCTGAAGAGGTGATTTCTACAAAGCAGAGGAGAAAATAAGTGAGTCAACAATGTAATTTTAGGTGATAGCAAAGTAAAACCTCGGAGAAGTAAAACGAAATGCTGGGATGCAGAGGGACCCAGGACTGGGGCTGCCTTCCCGAGTAGGAGCCGGCCTGGGACTCGTGTGGGCAGGAGATTGCAGGCAGAGGGACCAGCAGTGCCAAGGCCCCGAAGAGGGGTACACACCTGGCATGTTCATGGAGAAGGAAGGCGGGGTGACAGGAGGGGGCAAATGCGGGGCCGAGGTTGGAGGAGTGAGTGGGCCCCACACAGGACCTAGTGGAGGGGCCCTGGGAGGAGCTTTAGCAATACCCAGTGATGAGCACCTGTAGAGTGGAATGTGGGTGCTGAGAATGCGGGCAGGCCATTCTCCTGTTGCCAGGTGACCACAGACACATTGGGTGTGTTGGGAGTAAGGTTGAAGGGCTGGCGGAGGGCCCCGTTCATGGGGGACTATCGGCAAAGTTTGCTCAACCCTTACCATACCTCGAAGGCTGAGGACAGCTCGGGAAGGGGACAGAAAGATGATCCTCTGGGCTTCCAGAACCCTGTGTATGAGGGCCTACGGTCCACGGACCTCAAATACAAAGACCTAGATGACGGGAAACTGGGGTTCGAAGACCAGGAAGAGGAAACTCCCCCTGAGGAGGTGACCGAGGAAGAACTTACAGATGTCCAGGAGCCAGGAGAGGCCCTCCTAGCGGTGAAGAGGGCCCTGGAGAAAGATGAGGAGGGTGTGACTGAGATGAGGTGGGTATGGGGAGCGGGGCTCAGGCACTCGGGACAGAGCCTATCCCCACGTCCCCCCTCTGTCCCTGCGGCCTCTGTGTCATTGCTTTAGTGTGGGTCCTCCCCTCACCCCCCAGCCCATGTAGTCATTCTAGGGTGAGAGTATCAGACAGGGCGGGCAATACCCGCACTGGCCTCTGAGGTGAAGTCGGCAAACACAATCTCTGTCAGGGTAGCAGGTGAGTGACAGTGGGAAACCCTACGAAAGCTCCGATTTTGGAGTCAGACAGTGTTTAGATGCCAGAGTTGAGAAGTCGAGACAGGTGGCCCTCACTTAAGAAAGAAATGGGGACCATCCTGGCTCAGAAGCTGCCACCATTCCCACTGCTACAAATTGCCAGAAAAGTTGAAGATGGCTGGGAGCACACGAGCTGGTGGAACCGAGAATTGGGGAATCAAGCATTTGGGGGACTGATTTTTGGCAATTGATCCTGGAAAGAGCATCCCTCCCTCCCTCCACTGGGCCACGTTCTGGGCTCTTCCGGACGTGGCTGTCTAGGCAGGAAGGAGCTGGCCAGTGCCCTCCCCCATCGGCTGCCCTTTTTGTGGGGGAAAAGGTGCAGGCAGGCAGTGACAGGGCCCAGGGAGGACATCTGAGCCCAGGGCCATAGGAAGTGAGGAGAAGGCCCGTTCCTTCCATAGTCTGGGGGCTGCCCGGGGCCTCTCTGTGGCTCAGTCCCCCTGGGAGCCTGGATGCACATGAGATGAGAAAACGTCTCATGCAATAACTGCAGCCATCCTGTGAGGTGGGGGCGGGTCTCCGTTCCATTTCACAGGGAAGGGGACGAGGTCAGCTGGCCAGGGTCACACGTCTGGCTGCCGCTGGGGTGAAGGTGGCAGTCCACCTCTTTGGATGCCAGAATTCGCCCCCAGTGGGGCCCCTTCAGATGGCGAGGAGATTCAGGGGGGCTGGAAGTCCAGGGACTCCAGCCTCACCATCCAACTCTCCCCAAGCCGGCTGTCCATCACCCAGAGGTTCCCTAGCACCTTCATGCGAAGAGGGAAGAAGAAGAAGAGGCGGCTTCTTGAGCTGGCAAAACCCAAGACCAACTGGCAGACCTTGAAAAACAAGTGAGCGGCGCAGGTGGTCTGGCTGGAGGCAGGGATGGGGGTCTGCGAGGAGGAGAGCAGCCCCTGGGGGGCCCATCTGTCACCTACATGGTAAACTTGGGGTGAAGAGTCAGGGTACCAACCATGGGGGTTTGGGGGGGCGTGGTGGCCGGCAGTGGCCTCTGGGTGCTGGCCCAGGAGAGTGAGGCCCAGGAGAGCACGTGGGAGCTGCAGAGCAAGGCAGGGGCTGGGCTGTCTCATCGCAGGATGGGGTGCCGCTGTAAGGGCTTTGTCTGGATCTCCCCATGCATGACGAACTTGCGGTTCTGTGTCTACTGGTAAGTCCCAGAGTGTCTCCTCTCTCCACCTCCTGCCCGTGTTGGGGGGAACAGCCAGGCCCCAGGCCCCTTTCCTTAGTTACACCTTTTCCCCAGCTCCCCACTTCGCTGCACATCAGCCTTGCTCACAGTAATCTGCGCTGCCCCCTGTCTCTAAGATTCTCCTCCCCATGTCCCTCTCTGACCTGCCCCTCTCTTGTGCCTCCACATTCTCTCCTTCCTTCCACTGGTCACTCCGCCAGGTCTTCCTCCAGCCACCCTGCCTTGGCCTCGCTGTGTCCCCGTCTGCACGTGTGTCTGTGTTTGTGGGGAGCCCTGAGTTTTGTTTCAGAGCAGGGCTTAGGAAGCCTCTGCCCCGGCTTCCCTCACCCTGAGCCACGACTGGGTGCATTCCAGGCCATCCGTGTATTGGACAGAGAGATTTCTGGAAGACACCACCCTCTCCATCACGCTGCCTGGTAGGTTGAGCCCACTCACCACCTCCACTTCTCCATTAGTGGCCGCCTGGCTCAGGGGTTGGCCGCAGGTAGGCCTTGGCCCAGTCATGTCTCTCGGCCACTCTGCCTGGCATACTGCTCCTGGCCTCCTGGGGCTGGGTTGCCCCCATCTCACCCCAACCCGTGCCCTGTTCAGACTGGGGAGACCTTGGGGACTCCCCTAGCCCTAAGGCCCCTGGGACTCCCTCAGGCTCCTCCCCTCTCCTCCGTCTATCTCCCAGGAGTGCCTGTCCTCCACAGCGTTCCAGGGCCTCATCTCTGGACACGATAACCTCAAGAAGCCAGGGCCAGATGGAAGCTGGTCCTGGGGGTGAGGGGTGTGGGGCAAATTCTCCAGGGGAAACCCCAGTTGGCACCATGGCCAAAATGGGGGTTAGTATTCACTTTACAAAAAGGCTTTCTTCTTCCCTCTCATGATGGTTTCTATCCTCTTTGAGAGCAATGGATCCCTTCAAATAAAACATGTCAGGAAAGCTCATTATTGGAGAGAAGTGAAGGGCAGGGTCTCTCTTGGGGTTTAGAATCTCCCTCAGAGGGAACACTAAGCCCCTGGAAACACTAGGTCTGTGCAAACTTCAGACCAAAATCCACTTTCCAAGCCCTGCTGAGGAACTGACCCAGCCCTGACACTCCCATCTTGTGTGCTCGAGAGAGAGACTTCAGGCTTCTGAGCCTGTTGTCCCTAAAACGGGGACAGCCAAAGTCACCTCTCTGTAAGGTGTCTAATACTGGCTGAACTGTGTGGGCCCATAGTTCCTCACATTTGGCCTCTTGCTCTAGCCCAGCGGTTCTCAACCTGTGGGTCACGACCCCTTTGGAGGTCAAACGACCCTTTCACAGGGGTCGCCTAAGACTATTGGAAAACACATATATAATTACATATTGTTTTTGTGGTTAATCGCTACGCTTTAATGATGTTCAATTTGTAACAATGAAATTGGGGGTCACCACAACATAAGGAACTGTATTAAAGGGTTGCAGCATTAGGAAGGTTGAGAACCACTGCTAAACTGTGCCTCTTCAGAGCATCAGATGAAGACCTCATTGGATTTGATGGTGGTTTTCTGATTTGGGTAGTTTATTAAAGAAAGAAGTTTGAAAGTTGAGTACTGTTAATGACTGTCTGTCCATATCCTGCCTGAAATACCATGATTGTTTGTAAAAAGTGTCCTTAATAAAGCTGGGGTGGTCCCAGGGCCTGTGTTGGATCTGGGCACGAAGCTCCCTGCCCTGCAGCCAGGTCCACACCTGTCCCAGGATCCTGTTCCTCTTGCCCACATTTTATTGGATTCCATCTGGGCCCTGGC